TCGGCCTCCCAAAGTGCTGGGATTACAGGCGTGAGCCACCGCGCCCGGCCTAAGAAAAGAATTTTTAAGTTGGACTTAATCAAAATTTAAAGCTTGTGCTCATCAAAAGACCACTATGAAAATGAATACACAAGCTACAGTCTGGGGGAAAACTGGTAGTTTCTTGTTAAGTTGATTGTTCTCCTCTTTTTTGACCCAAGAATCCCACTCATAGGTGTTTACCCAAGATAATTGGAAATGTAAGTCCACAAATAGAGTTGTACACCATGGGTTGTTGTTGTTTTTAGGCGAAGTCTCACTCTGTCACTCAGGCTGGAGCGTGCAGTGGTGTGATCTTGGCTCACTGCAACCTCCACCTCCCAGGCTCAAGTGATTCTCCTGCCTCAGTCTCCCGAGTAGCTGGGATTACTGGCATTTGCCACTATGCCTGGCTAATTTTTTTGTATTTTTAGTAGAGATGGGTTTTCACCATGTTGGCCAGGCTATCAGGTAATCCACCTGCCTTAGCGTCTCAAAGTGCTGGGATTACAAGTGTGAGCCACTGCTCCTGGCCTATACAATGTTCATGGCACCATTATTAATGGTATTCCCAAATTGCAGATAACCTAAATATCCTTCAGTGAGTGAATGGGAATAAATTGGTGTCATTCAAAAAAAAAAAGTATTACTCTGCAGGCCGGGCACGGTGGCTCACACCTGTAATCCCAGCACTTTGGGAGGCCAAGGTGGGTAGATCACCTGAGGTCAGAAGTTTGAGACCAGCCTGACCAACATGGAGAAACCCCATCTCTACTAATGATACAAAATTAGCCAGGCGTGGTGGTGCGTGCCTGTAATCCCAGCTACTCAGAAGGCTGAGGCAGGAGAATCACTTGAACCTGGGCGACGGAGGTTACAGTGAGCCGAGATGGTGCCATTGCACTCTAGCCTGGGCAACAAGAACAAAACTCCATCTAAAAAATAAAAAATATAAAGTATTACTCTGCTTTAAAAAAGAAAAAAAAAACTGTTTATATCCATTCGGATGAATCTCAGAAGCATGCTGAATGAAAGAAGCCAGACACAAGAGTACATAATGCGTGATTCCATTTATTTGGAGCTCTAGAACAGGCAAAACTAATCTCTGAGTTAACACAGTTGCTACAGGAGTGTGGGGATTGAATGGGAAGGGGTAAGAGCAAAGTTTCTGAGGTGATGGGGTGGGTTACACTCATATATGCATTTCTCAAAACTCATCAAACTCTATACTCAAGATCTGGGCATTTTACTCTACCTCAATAAAATGAATAAAAAGCACCAATATGACAGGGTGGGTTTGAGAGTTAAATAAGGAAATAACCTCTATGAGACACTTGGCAGAGTGCCTAGCACACAGTAAGTGCTCAGTGAATGATGGCTTATTACTAACAGCGACCCTGGACGATGATGCTCTTGCTTATTGGACTGTTGCAGGTGGAATGAAGTAACTCGAAGAATAGAAATGTGGATCTCCATATTAGAATTGAATGAGTTAGGAGAGTATGCTGCAGTAGAACTTCATCAGGCAAAAGATGTCAACACAGGAGGCATCTTTCAACTCAGACAGGTGCTGAGTTTGTTTTGGCTTTTTGGTGTTTTTTTTTTTTTTAATGTTTTCTCTCTGTTCCACTCTTACGCATAGTTTCTGGGAATTTTCTAACTATTTGTATCTTTGTTCTCTAATCCTTTTCCCCTTCTTTATCCCCTTCTCCCATCCTCTTTATTATCATTCCTGGCACCCTTACACCTGCCCACCCTCTTCAGGGTCATTCCCGTAGAGTACAAGTCACGGTATCACCTGTGCAGCATTCAGGGACGCTGCCGCTTATGGTTGAAGCCATCCTGTCAGTAGCCATCGGTTGTGTAACTGCTAGGTCCACCAAACTCCAGAGAGGGCTGGACAGTTACCAGGTAAGACAAGCAGACTTGAAGTCGTATTTAACAAAGCTTGGTTAATGCAGAAATAAGGCACTTAATGGTCTCCGATGGGGATCTTTTTGCAAATATAACAGAACTCCTTTCCTTAACCACAGGTCTTCCCCCAGTTCACATTTCCATCCATCGCCCTTTTTTTTAGCTTTAAAATCTGTTTGCTTAGTGTCGATTAATAATAATTTTATTTATAAACACATCCTAATGCTATAGTAGTCATTTACTTTAGGCAGATTTTATTTTATATCTGGCCCAAAATATGTTGTATCTTTGGCATTGCTGCCTGACCTGACCCACTTTTTTTTTTTTTTTTAAGATAGGGTTTTGCTTTGTTGCCCATGTTGGAGTACAGTGGTGTGATCATGGCTTACTGCAGCCTTCACCTCCTAGGCTTTAACGGTCCTTCCACCTCAGCTTCCCAAGTAGCTAGGATTACAGGCACGCATCACTGCGCCTGGCTGATTCTTTTATTTTTTGTAGAGAAGGGTGTGTCATTCTGTTGCCCACACGGGAGTCAAACTCCTGGACACAAGTGATCCTCCTACCTCAGCCTCCAAAAGTGCAGGGATTACAGGCGTAAGCCACCGCACCTGGCCACTTTTATTTACAGTGGCCACTTTTATTTATATTTTTTTTTACTATATTTATTTATGATTATTTTCATACACTGTCATAATAAACCAGCTCTTTGAAAGCTTTACTTTTTTTTTTTTTTTTTTTTTTTTTTTTT